TAATCTCAAATCATTGCTTAGCTCTAATAGAAATAACAGAAGGCATACCACTCCAATATGGTCCGAGGTCAAACATTCTCTCTTCTCAAACTGAATCTTCATTACTAAACTTGATGCATCGAAGTGATTTCGATTCGTAGATGTGTTTTAATACCATTATTTGTTAATATGATTTTCCCTTGCAGATAAAATCCTCACAAGCTAACTATATAGCATTGTCTCGTCTTGACCACAAGAAAAATGTCACCACATTGCTCAAGGCTATTGGGGAGGGCCAACCCCTCGAAAAGCCAGCCAACATGGTAAAATTGTGTTTCACTTCAATGACTTATTAATATTGCAGACACTGATACTGGGAAACAGAGATGACATTGAAGAGATGTCTAATAGCAGTTCAGTTGTTCTTAACACTTCTCAAAGCTCATCAACAAGTACGAATTGTACCACTAGGTGGCTTATCCGAGATCATAAGCAATCCGAAGTTCTTGAAATTTATTGTTTGGCTGCGAAAACAAAGGTAAATTGTTCATCATTTTATCCAATGCTACAAAACACGGAATCCGTGTTGCCTGGTTGGTTAGAATTTTACTGGTCATTGCATCAAAATAGTTCTAAAAGGACACCTGCGACTACCTTTTGGTACTTAGAAATGATGATAAATATATAAGAAACACTCTCATCAACGGCGTACTTTAGGCCATTAGGCTTGCATTGCCGATCAATCTATGCAACTCCATATTTTCAGAACTTATCAGCTTAGATTAATGTCTAGAAGTTGACACACTTTAACTCTTTCTTCTTCCTTGCAACGATAAATTTGTAACAGTACTCTATGGCGGCTTTGTCTCTTGAGGGAGTTTTCATCAATCCAGCTCTGTTGAACCGTTCGGTCTCACACTCCGAGGTATGTCTCTTTGGTCTATTCTAAAACGTTGTATTGACTGAATCTTCAATTTTAGTAACACTCTGAATCTTATAAGAAGCAATTGATAACGAGAAAATTCTGAAGCATTATAAAAAAATTTAAGCCTAAATGTATCAAAAAATCAAATTATTCCACTTGTATCTTGCAGGCAGCTGCCTATGGTCTTCTATTGTTGCCACAAAGAACGGGAACCTGTGGACATTGTGAAGGTTCCAAATTTCTCATCCTTCATAAAAAAGTTGTGGTAGAAGAAATGCATGCCTAGACTAAAATTATGCAGAACTAAAAAATACCTCATTGATAACACTCCAAACTATGAATTATGACAGAAATAGCTTTGATAGGAAATTTTGGCCACCTAATGAATTAATCATAGTATCACACTGACTCAGACTGATAGTAACTGAGGACTCTGTTTAAACAGGTGCTTAATGATATTCCCCCAGCTTAACAATGGTCTCTAATTGACCCGCATGATCAGAAAGCCATAGCAGATGTCCTCCTAAAGCTGGTTGCTGACAAAAACATGTGGTCTGATTGTCTAAAAAATGGACTCAAGAATATCCAACCACTTTTCATGGACAGAACAATGCCGTAATACCTCTCACATGTAGAACAGTGCAGGACCCGTCACCCCACCACACGTCTTGAGATCATGAAAGTTCCTGAAGAACCATCCGTAACTACAGGATGTGGAAGATCTTCTTTAAAGTTCTCCATAGAAGGAGACTTCAAGCTTAATGGGGAGCTTGATGCAGCAACACAACAGAAAAAACTCATTGAAGCCATCACCCAGAAGGCTTCCTTCAATGGCAGTGCCAGTGTCACTCACACTCCTGGTAGAAGGCAGATGCTATTTGGAATAGCTGCGATTGCTATGACAGCAACGGCAATATCACAGAGGAGTTTCAAAAAACAATCCAGAATGTGATGAAGAAGCAGGGATTGAGTATAGGCTTGGCAAAGTAGGCTCATATTGGTAAATGGTTCGAGTTTACGAGAGACTGGAAGCAATCAAAGCTGCCCAGTAAATATAGAAGATTTTGATGCAATAATATGCAACAGTGGAAGTGAACTATATTACCCGTGGAGAGACACGGTGGCTGATTTGGACTACGAAGCCCATGTAGAATACAAATGGCCTGGTGAGAATGTGAGATCAATGTGTTAGGCTTGCGAGGACAGAACATGGAGCTGAGGTTGATGAAATTGCAGAGCACGTGGATGTGCGCGGTTCCAGATGCTAGTTTACAGCAAAAATCCAGGAGCCAATGTAAGATTTTGTGACAATGTTCAAAAATACTGATATAAATTGCAGGTAATACCTTGACAGATGCATTTTTGGTAACAAAACTAAAGACGAATTTAACATCAATGGCAGACTCGAAGAGTAGATGACCTTCGCCAAAGGCTGCAGATGAGAGGATTCCGATGCAACCTTGTCTAACCACGTGCAGCATCAAGGTTAAACGTGGTAACACTATTTGCATCAAGAAAACAAGCTCTAAGGTTCGACCTCTTTCACTGCATATCATAATATTGTACAGAATCCTCAAATAGATCAAGATCAATCAGTTGTAGTAAACTGAAAATGAAATCTCTGGTACGTTTGTGTTGCTACCATTCGTGCAGGTATCTATCAATTAGGTGGGGAATTGATCTTTCAAAAACTGTAGTGTGTGTGAGATAGAGGAGACAGAGACTATGAAAATCTGCTGGTGGCCTCCAAAAGACTGTAATTGTAAGAGGCACCGTGGACTGTGGCAGTGAGAGCTTCTCATGGTGAAGAGAGTTCTAAAAGAGAGATTCGTTCCACAAGACAGCCCGAACATTGCCCATGTGGAGGGAGGGAGTTTGAAGCCCAGGATATCTCTGCAGCTCTGAAGGTTGAGATCAAGTGATTATGATCTTTACTATTTTCCTTTTAAGTGTTTATATTCTCATCGTTAATGCAAAAGCAAGGATATAAGAACCATATATACAAGAATATACATCTAACTTGTGAGATATTTCAATTGTACAAGTACACATAAATAATAATATAGAATAATATGGAATTTAAATTTGGGTACATGGCGTAATTTCCTTATTAAAGTCTTAAAAACAATCTGAAATAACATTTCGGAAATAAAGCAAAAGAGTCATATTGTAAAATGCTAGACCAACCCTATGATACAAGAGGTATAGTTTTATTTGCAGATGGTATGGCAAAACTTACCACTTCATATATTAAAAGCATCATCATGAAGTATTCTTTCACTATTAACAACAATAGATGAAGCAGTACTGTTTCTGCAAATATACTACTAAAAACAATTGAACTAGATCCGAGCTACAACTGAAGTCATTTATCATATAATCCCTTGCATTATAGTTCTAAGGATCAATTCTAGTTTCGTTTCGCATTTGATTACCTGTCAACTACGAATTTGTTTCTTCAGCCTTTTGAGTTGACTAAGTTTCATTGCTACTATACTTTTCTAAGATTAAAGATTCACTTCCACCTGATTCCTCTCCACAATCACATTTCAGCACATAGGAAAGTCCCTATAACAAGCAGAAGCATCAATTAGAATATGATAGTTTGATATAGAAAAAGTAATCACACGTTTACTAGAATTCGGAAGACTTTTAGCAACTGGAAGGCAAAAAACTTTCCCAACTGTGATTGAGTTCACAACCATGAGCAACAAAACCCACTTATTAAGAGTTTCATTTTTAGCCACCAAATGGACCTTTTCTTTTTAAACCTTGCTTTGGTCAAAAACCAAAGGCCATTTCAGGTTTTGATCAAGTAAATCCTAAAATACTTTAGTTTCTGTGATAAAGAAAAGCTACCACAGTATTACCTTGAATTGCTCAATTTGGTCCTTTAGGCATTCCCAACTCAGATTCTCCAGCCTTATCTGATAGAAGATCTGCGTGTTCTCTTCCAAGGTCTTTAATCCATTGCAACATCTCTGACTATAGTTACCAATATTTAAAATAAGAAGCCAATAATAGTTTCTACAAACGGTATATGAAATAGAAAACTAAAAGCCCCCACCCACTCAACTACTATCCAAAGATATGGATGTTGAACAATATTTCTATTGGGCAACCTGATTCTCCGCAAAGAAAACATTATATTCGGCCATAGTGATTATTCTATAGTGATAATCTATGCACAAGCCTAAGGGCAATCACATGAAACATTACATGAACTGGTTAGAGAACTAACCTTCAATTTGTTTGCCCTGCACTTCACTTGCTCAAAGGAATCGTTCATCTAAAAACATGTCCAGATAGCGGATGAATATAAGGGATTGATAAAATTAGAAACAACAGCTACAAGTAGTTTCCCGTGAAGAAATAGATCCACTTGACTAGGAAACAGATGTATTGACAGAGTCACATGTAAGTCTACACCACTGGGAAAAGCAGAAAACATTTAAGCTTCAAAAGAAATTTTCCCAATAAGGAAGGTAAACCGAAATGCAAAAACAGTCAAAACATTAATTCAAGAGCACTTTCATCCACTCTCAAGAGAATTAGTTTTAGGTACCTAAACTTATAAAAAGATCAATCCAAGATAATCAAGTGACTTACGTTAGCGTCACAAATTAAATTGAATTTACTCAATGAAAATCAATGTTTTACATGCTACACTTGGAATTCATACTCTGATCTACAATCAGACATAGAAAACAGTTTTCACTGATGATATACTTTACAAACGATGAATGGAAGTAAAAAATGTAACTTTTGGCATTAGCCAAGACTGGAGACAAAAATTTAGCGAATTGAAATTAAATCGAAGCAACAAACTCTTTCTACACATATAAACACAAGATTAAGTCACCCGAGCCCCGATCGGGAATTAGTCTCATACCTTGGGGTGGGGACATCTCTAGGCTTTCACCCAAATAAAAAAAAAAAAAAAAAAAAAAAAAGTTATTGAAATGAGACATGGTCCATCTACCAACTAGGAAAAAAGAATACGTTCAGTTAAAATCTTGCTTAAGTAACTTTTTTTTCTTGAACAAGTTTAATGTTCTGTGCAATTTCGTCAGCTTGTCTTTAGCAGAAACCAAATATGGCCATCAAGGTCTCCCTAGCTTCACTGCTCTGGTATCCCAAAAATTAATTAGAAAATTGCAACACCGTATATCAATGATATCAATAAAAGTTATTTACCTTATTGTCCATGAAGTTATTGTTATCAATGCCGCACTTCCCTGCAAGAAAAGTTAAATAAGATGAAAAGAATAATATTGTTTCTGATTAAATAATTTTATGCCTCAATGACTACAGTTCAGGTCAGAGTTATCGTTTAAATAGACCACCAATCATCATAGAACATCTTGCAATTTTGAGTTAGCTCTTTGTGATAAAATTCGTAAACAAGAGGATCTTCTTATTTCTCTTTCTCATGTATGTCACAACTCGGTATCATATATATAAGATTTTGGGCTTAGAAATCACACTGAGCCTTCCCTCTCTAAATCACACCCGCATTCTGTTGTACAGTTCAAAATTCTTAGGTGAGGCCCAAACTTGGAAGTGTTTAATAAACACATTGTTCTCTAAAAGCCTACATTTCCAGTAAAAGGTCCTCAACAGACATCCCCTACGGCTCGTGGAGCAGAAAGTCTTGCCCTAAATATGAACAAAACTCCCTAGTCCCTACCACTGGTAATTCAGATCTTTCATTAAGGGATGTTTGATGACCTTTGCAAAAAATAATGAAAAGCATGATAAATACCAAGTTTCTGACTAGATTTTAAGCTGCTGATTGAAATTGACAATAAGTAATGCAAAGGTTTCCAAATATTCGCTACTGTAAAGCAACCAGCCAACAATTGTAATATTAACATTCACCTTCTGGATTAAGGGAAATTTTGGTATATTGGTATACAATATTCAATGTCAAAGTGTTTATCATTGGACTTGTTAACATAGTAAGTTTCAAGGTAAATAAAAACAAAAGTCATCAACAACTTAACATTTGCGCGGGAAAATTGTATCAAATCCCAAATCACCAGTTCATGGCCAAAGCCAACTTGTTCCTTAAATAAGTACCTTCAGTTTCAGCCATTTGCTCATCACTTTACCTTGACTGAATGATTTTAATCAAGAATTGCCAAAAATTGATAATCTTAAAAGTTTTATCTATACACTATAGTGAAAAGTAGAATAGTGATAGCAATACAAAAGAACCATAAAACCTATTCACGGTGACAGATTATGAATTTGCAGTAGTTAAATCAAAATTGCATTGCAACAAAAATCATCAAGAGGTTGAAGACAATAGCGAGATCTAAATATCTTTAGTACACTAGAAATACAAAATTAGGTTGGATGTTGTGCCAACCTTTAAGCATCAAGAGACTACATAAACAGAAGGGATTTCTAATTACAACAAATTGATCATGCATATATATAGGCTCATTTCTCCTTTTTTTTTTTTTTTTTTTTTTTTTTTTTTCCCCTCTCCTTCTTGGCCAGGAAAGAGGCATGCATTAAAGAGAGATGTATCTTTAGGATGTGTGTCTACTACCACTCTTCAACTGTGAGAAATTTTCCCAAACCATCATCACCACTCAAGCAATTCCAATTATCAAGGAAGTGGTATAATCTGAACAAGAAGCTCTTAGAGCAATACAGAAAGATATCCCACAAGGAAAACTGAAGACCTTTGTTACCTTCAGCTAGTCAGTGAGAAACACGCTGGATCCTAAAGACTAGATGCACAATCAATTATCATAAACAAGGAGAGTCAATATCTTCATTCCTTCTGTTTCTCTTATTTGGAGCACATACAGTTATCTTTAAGAGAATTAAAAAAGAGGTAAATCAATGAAGTTACAAAAGATTTAGCGAATGAATACCGATTTAGCTCAGTCATTTCTCTAGTCCTGTCAAATTTGAACCAGTCATCATAAATATGAAAGAGACCATCATCTGGAAGTAAAATTTTGAAAATAGAACAGTGGATTCAGATGAAGAGGCTCATGAATATAACCTGTTGTTGCTTTAATTTTAACTTGATATCCTCTGCAAATTGAGTATAGTAAGCTTGTTGTAGTTAAGAAATTATGGCAATAAATGTCATAGCATTCAGTGAACTTAATCAATGCAATATATTCTTAAATATTACCTCTTCTCTGCTATTTTTTTAGAGAGCTAACTCTTCTTGTTGTATAAGTCCATTGTCTGCGCATTTAAAGAACAATGATGAATCAAGAATATACACCCTGAGATTGAAGAAACATATTCTTCAACAACCCATTTCCATATAAAGAAGAACATACAGAAACAGGAATTCCCCAGAGTCAGATATTATAGGATTTTCGCAAGTTAGGGTAGCAACCCAAATATTATCAGAACATATGATCTATTCAAGCCCATAAATTATTTTATAGTGTACAACATGAAAGATAGTTGTGAGGAGTTTCTACCAGTATGTCTAGCTCTCAATTGTATAAAACTTCTAGCCCAAACGTTTTCTGAGCAAGGATGGCAAATTATAGAAAGTGCACCATCCGACAACAGAAGTTTTTATCAATTCAGGTTTACTGTGCAGGTGTTCTCGGACATGCAAGTAGCTACTCAAGGGTGAGAAACAGAAAAGAAAATGTCCCATAACAGGGATATTGTAGGCTTCCAACTAGAGGGTCATTCCAGCTCCGCCAAAGACACAAAAAAATAGATCTCACCTGGTTAAGGGAGGACGAACAGACTCCAGAGAACGAATTTTTCTCTGTTTTGCCAATATTTGTGCACATATCTGACCCTTTTCCTTGTTCATCTTTCAGCTTCTTCTCTCAGTAACTTTGTGTCAGACTTTGCTGCAAAAATAGTGGGGAAACAGTTCAGCCAATAAAAACAGCTACTATAAAGAACTAAATCATAAATACAATGTTCCACAACTCATAAATGGATTGAACCTACATAAATGATCACAAATCATCTGAAAAATTGTATCATGTGGATATTAGAGGTAAAAAGGCCTCTGAAAGCAAATCAATTTTCTATAATCATTGAAAAAATGTCCTAAATTTGCAGTATACACAAAAAACTTTGAGTACTAATTAATGGGATATCAAACTAAGGTAATCCACATGAACATGCACAAAGAAAATGATATTATTTCAGATAAGTTTTTAGAGTGCTTTCATAGCAGCACCTAATTAGCAAAAGAACTATTGTTAATCTACAATAGCTCGAAATTCACACGTGTTTCCAAAGCAAAACAAAAGGCAAAAGGTTTTCAAATCACTTAATTTTCTGTTAATGACAATAGAAAAAGATTGATGTCAAGGTAGATTACAACTAAGCCCCAAAAATACCTTTACTAGACTCTTTTAATTTTCTGTTAAGGCAAAGTAACAAAACAACCTAAGGATGCATTCCGAAGTAAATGTGGTGCAGCTAGAGAAATTACAGGATTTGATTGAAAGGATAAAAGTCTTTTTAAAATCAATTTATTATAAAAAAATAAAATACCACACACACTCCCACACTCACACACCAACAGCGTACTAATTGAAGAACTTTTGTAAGCATTTCTGAAAAAAACACTTTTTGGATGACAAAATAAAACTTTATTGAGAGCAGTTTCATGAGCTTTTACCTAAACAAAAACCTTTTTCTACAAAGGCCGTCCTAGACAACACCTATATACAATTTCAATAATCAAAAGAACTTTCATATGAATCTCACAGTATTTGATGCAATGAATAAACCACTGTTTTGAATTTATAAAGAAAAATAAATACTAGAGTAGTCCAAAGAAGCATTAGTAAGTGCTTTAGAAGAAACATTCACTTATAAGAAACACATTTTAGTACTTCTCAGACAATCAATCTACCATTCTTGATCAGTTCAACCGATTCAATACTAATATACATGTAAGCACACAGAATTTTCAATTAAGCAAATAAATTTCAGTTTCCGACACAATTAGGACCTCTCCTAATCTCAATTTCCATGAACTTTTAAATCTGAGAGGATTCTTCAATCTCACAAACAACCAAAACAAATTAAAATTCATTTCTGTAAATATCAATTATTTTCAACACAAAACACAAAAAACCTAGGATAGAAGAATTGACCAGAAAACAAGGTCATTTTCTATTAATTAACACACGGTATAGCACCACAATTTTAATTAACCTAATAAAATTCAATTTTCAAGTAATTCTTAGAAAAATACAAACAAACTACATTCCTTATCAGTAATATCATTTCATGTAAACATAGAATTGGCCCAAAAAACGAATCTGTTTTCCAAAATCCTTATGATGCTAATTTCAATAACCTGTACATTCAGTCTTCAATAAAAAACTACCAAACAAATTCACATTCATTTCAAACAATCATTTAATTTTCGAACAAAAGAAACCACATAAACACGAACTGGCCAGAAACGAGGTCGTTTCCATTGACTAACACACCTAAATTCATTCTATTTCATTCAATTCGAAACAAACAGATAAAATTCAGTTCCAATTATATTAAAAGGACAAAAAAAAAAAAAAAACACAAATTGACCAGAAACAAGGTCGTTTTCCATGGAGTTAATGTGGTGATCAGCATTTGCTCTTCAACCGTGACCTTCGCGGTCTGATCCTCCACTGTTTCAATAAGTTCGATAAAAAAAAAAAAGGTTACAATTCGAAGCCGATTTTGAAGCGTGAATGAGAGAAAGAGGTGAACATTTAGATTGTATTGGCATGGTAACCTTACTGAGCTGGTACAAGATCACACTACATTTCTAGTCTAATTCTTGGGTACATTTTTCCAGGTAAAATATGTTGTTGCACTTGCAACAGCCTTGGCCAACACTAAAGGAGTTCATCGTGTGGATCTCTTTACAAGGTAAATTGCCTCACCAGAAGTAGACTCTAGCAATGGCGAACCCACTGAGACGTTGTCTTGCCCCGTCGACGGTAGTGGCAGTTGCGGAGCCTATATCATCTGCATCCCCTATGGTGCTCGCGATAAGTAATAATCTTGGCCTGATCCAAGCTTTTTACTTTGAATATTATCGGAAGAACTGCTTTAATGTTTATGTTACAGGTATATAGCAAAAGAGTCACTTTGGCAACACATACTTGAATTTGTTGATGGTGCAATAAACCACATTGTTAACATGGCAAGGGCTTTAGGTGAACAAGTGAATGGAGGAAAGCCAACATGTCCCTATGTGATCCATGGCCACTACGCTGATGCAGGAGAGTGATAAACCGGCAGTGCATAAAGTTTACACCCTTAAGGGGCGTAATAGACATTAGGAAGGTTGTTAAGGGAGTAGGGTCCACAAAGCACAGGTGTCATGCGTAACAGTCTGTTTTGAGAATATGAATTGTGTGAGTAAGGGTAATTGTGGAAAGGGGATTAGTATTTAATCAGGGAGAGTCGTAGCAGCAGTATCATCTTATTTTGTTGATAAAACAGTGGAGGTTCCTGGCTCCTCGAAACGCCAGGGTTTATGGTTACAATCCAGTTCATTCCATTTTTATCTGTTCCATTCATATTATCTGATTAATACAAATAGTGCTGAGATTGCATATTCTGTTTCTTGCATTATTCTGGTTGTGGATTGACTGTGTGGTTGGTTACTTGTGTGGGAATTATTGCTGGTTGGTTGTGGATTGAGTTTGTCTATAGGTGATCGTATCAACTGGTATCAAAGCCAGAGTGGGTTATGGTAAAATCCAAAATGGAGAATAGGATGGATAACGTAGAGAAGGAGATGAATACGGTAAAGGAAGACGTAGGAACCTTGAAGATTGGGAATGAGAGTGTGGTGGTGTTGGTGGATAGTGGGGCTTCCCACAATTTCGTTTCCCATGAGGTTGTATAGAAGCTAAGGCTGAAGGTGGATAAGGGGAGACCTTTTGGAGTCGTGGTTGGTGATGGATGTACCATTCGGGGTGAAGGAATTTGTAAGGCAGTGAGGCTGAAACTGCAGGGGATTGAGATCCAGCTGGAGTTTTTTCCATTTGAATTAGGAGGTGCAGATGTTCTGTTGGGAATTACATGGTTGAGTAGTTTAGGGGATGTGAGTGCCAATTGGAAGAGACTAACAATGGAATTTAACTGGGAAGGCAAGAAGGTAAAATTGAGAGGGGATCCTCTACTGGTAAAGACTGAGGTCTCACTGAAAACCATGGTCAGGTCTGTGCATGCTGCGAGAACTGGCTACGTAGTGGAGTTTGGAGCCATAAGGCTTAAGGAAAAGCCAATATAGGAGGAAACTGACCCTAAAATATTAGAGGTGATATATGGTTACCCCCATCTGTTTGACCAGAACCCTAAATTACCACCCCATAAGACCCATGACCATGCCATAGAACTTCAACCAAGTTCCAATCCACCCAATATCCGACCCTACAAATACCCGTACTTTCAGAAGAATGAAATAGAGAGGCTGGTTGGGGAAATGTTGACTACTGGGATTATACAACCTAGTGTTAGCCCGTACGCTAGCCCTGTCCTATTAGTCAAAAAGAAGGATGGGAGTTGGCGATTTTGGGTAGATTACCGGGCATTAAACGATATTACAATACTTGATAAATTCCCAATACCGACCATTGAAGAGTTACTTGATGAATTGGCTGGGGCAACGGTCTTCACAAAACTGGATTTAAATTCAGGATACCATCAAATTAGGGTGTGAGAGGTTGATGTTCCCAAGACAGCCTTTCGCACACATGAGAGGCATTACGAGTTCCTTGTGAAGCCTTTCAGACTCACTAATGCACCCTCAACATTTCAAGCCTTAATGAACTCAGTATTTAGACCTGTCCTCCGTAAATTCATCCTGGTCTTCTTTGATAACATCCTTGTGTATAGCCCCTGCATCTCCACACACATCCAGCATTTACAACTAACCTTTCAGATTTTGCAGGAGCACAAGCTGGTTGTTAACAAGAAAAAATGCTTGTTTGGCCAATCTAAGCTGGAATATTTGGGTCACCTGGTTTCAGAAAAGGGAGTAGAGGTAGATCCGAAAAAGATTGAGGCCATGGTGTCTTGGCCGCGACCTGCGAATGTGAAGGGATTGAGAGGTTTTCTTGGGCTGACGGGTTATTACCGAAGATTCGTAAAAGGGTATGGTTCAATCGCACAGCCCCTTACTCAGCTACTGAAAAAAGATTCCTTCGCTTGGAATGATTCGGCACAATCGACTTTTGATAGGCTCAAGGAAGCCATGACTACTGTCCCAGTTTTAACAGTTTCAAATTTCACACTCCCCTTTGATATTCAAACAGACGCATCTGGAAGAGGTCTCGGGGCTGTTTTGACGCAGCAGGCTCGACCTATAGCTTTCCTCAGCAAGGCATTCTCCCCTACAGCCAAGCTGAAATCGGTATATGAGTGTAAATTGATGGCTATCGTCTTTGCGGTCAAGAAGTGGAGTCACTATTTGCTTGGCAAAAAATTCATAATCAAGACTGATCAGCGCAGCCTCCAGTTTTTAAGGGACCAAAGATCAAAAAACCCTGAGCAACACAAATGGACCTCCAAGCTGATGGGTTTTACCTTGGAAATTCAGTAGTATCCAGGGGCTTCCAACCGAGTGGCTGACGCTCTTTCAAGAAGAGAAGACATGACTGAATTGGCACACCTTTCAGCTTTATCTGCGGTACAGTTTTCTAAGTATGAGGACATGGCTTCGGAGGCACAAACAGATCTGAAACTCAAGGAAATCATTCAGGACCTTCTCCTTGATTCTTCTAGTCAACCTAATTACCACCTCCGCAAAGGCTGCCTATTCTATAAAGACAGGCTGGTTATTCCAAAAGGTCCAGATTTGTCTCCACATTATTGGCTGAGTTCCATCAGAGTCCTAGTGGAGGCCACTCGGGTTTCTTCAGGACATACAAGAGAGTCTCTTTAGTAGTTTATTGGGAGGGTATTCGGGGAGATATACAACGCTACATTAAGGCCTGCATTACCTGTCAACTTAATAAACAGTTGTCGTTAAAACTCGCCGGACTCCTCCAGCCCCTTCCCATTCCAGATCAGGTTTTTGAGGATCTCTCTATGGACTTTATCGGGGGGCTACCATGTTCGAAGGGAGTGGATACCATCTTTGTTGTTGTTGACCGCTTGACCAAGTACAACCATTTTTTTAGTCTCGATCATCCCTACAATGCAAAGGATGTGGCTGCCATATTCGTTAAAGAAGTGGTCAGGCTCCACGGTTTCCCTAATTTCATTGTTTCTGACAGAGACAAACTTTTTATGAGTTAATTTTGGTAAGAGTTGTTCAAGGCTACCAGCACTATTCTGAAATTTAGTTCGGCTTACCATCCATAGACAGATGGGCAAATAGAGGTGGTCAATAGGTGTCTCGAGGCGTATTTTCGTTGTTTCTGCAGTTCTCAACCACGACAGTGGCCTATTTGGCTTACTTGGGCAGAATACTGGTACAACACAACCTATCACGATTCCATCCGAATGACTCCCTTCAAGGCCCTCTATGGACGAGACCCCCTTACCCTTTTAAAATTCACAAACTACCCTTCCATCGTGGAAGATGTCAATGTCCAAATGACTGAGAGGAATGCCATGTTAAAGGAGCTTAAGGACAACTTAGTTGTGGCTCAAGCTCGCATGAAACACAATGCTGACCTTCATCGGCGAGACGAGTGCTTCCAGCTTGGTGACAAAGTTTTCCTGAAGCTACAGCCCTACAGGTTTAAATCACTTGCCCAGAAATTGAATGAAAAGCTCAGTCGCTGTTTCCATGGTCCTTACACTGTTTTGGAACGCATTGGACCAGTGGCTTATAAATTGGATCTGCCTCCCACAGCCTGTATTCATCCTGTCTTCCATATTTCTCAACTCAAGAAGAGCTTACATCAATCGGTGCCCATCCAACCCCTACTAGAATCACTTTCTAAAGACATGGAATTACTGGTCCAGCCAGACGATGTTCTCTCTGTGCGTACTCTATTAGATAGGTCTAAGGAGGTTCTCATCAAATGGCAGCATTTACTTGATTTTGAAGCCACCTGAGAACCATATGAAGTGATTAAAATGCAATTTCCTCAGTTTCACCTTGAGGACAAGGTGAATCTTCAAAGGAGGGGGAGGGGGAGGGGAGATAGGGGGGCGCGGGGGGGGGGGGGGGAATAATTAAACGTAGTGCATAAAGTTTACACCCTTAAGGGGCGTAATAGACATTAGGAAGGTTGTTAAGGGAGTAGGGTCCACAAAGCACAGGTGTCATGTGTAACAGTCTGTTTTGAGAATATGAATTGTGTGAGTAAGGGTAATTGTGGAAAGGGGATTAGTATTTAATCAGGGAGAGTCGTAGCAGCAGTATCATCTTATTTTGTTGATAAAACAGTGGAGGTTCCTAGCTCCTCGAAATGCCAGGGTTTATGGTTACAGTCCAGTTCATTCCATTTTTATCTGTTCCATTCATATTATCTGATTAATACAAATAGTGCTGAGATTGCATATTCTATTTCTTGCATTATTCTGGTTGTGGATTGACTGTGTGGTTGGTTACTTGTGTGGGAATTATTGCTGGTTGGTTGTGGATTGAGTTTGTCTACAGGTGATCGTATCAGAGAGGTGGCAGCTCACGTCTCTGGCGCCTTGAACGTGCCAATGGTGCTGACGGGCACTCATTGGGGCGGAACAAGTTCGAACAATTGCTTAAGAAAGGGAGGCTGCCTAAGGACATAAATGCAACATACAAGATAATGAGGAGGATTGAAGCTGAAGAGATGGGGCTGGATGCTGCTGAAATGGTGGTGACTAGCACCAGACAAGGATGGTGGTATGTTTAACCTCAAACTTAACTAATATAAGAATGTCCTGAAATTTTTAACGTACGGAGAATGACCTCGATCCGCACTTTGGTCATAGTTCACGTGCTGATCACTTTTGTTGCATCAGGTTATACCACCAAGGATATGTAACAACACAAGATTCATTGGAAGGTGATGCTAATCTCAAATCATTGCTTAGCTCTAATAGAAATAACAGAAGGCATCTACCCTCCAATATGGTCCGAGGTCAAACATTCTCTCTTCTCAAACTTGAATCTTCATTACTAAACTTGATGCATCGAAGTGATTTCGATTCGTAGATGTGTTTTAATACCATCTATTTGTTTAATATGATTTTCCCTTGCAGATAAAATCCTCACAAGCTAACTATACTAGCATTGTCTCGTCTTGACCACAAGAAAAATGTCACCACATTGCTCAAGGCTATTGGGGAGTGCCAACCCCTCGAAAAGCCAGCCAACATGGTAAAAATTGTGTTTCACTTCAATGACTTATTAATATTGCAGACACTGATACTGGGAAACAGAGATGACATTGAAGAGATGTCTAATAGCAGTTCAGTTGTTCTTACCACTGTTCTAAAGCTCATCAACAAGTACGACTTGTACCATCAGGTGGCTTATCCGAAGCATCATAAGCAATCCGAAGTTCTTGAAATTTATTGTTTGGCTGCGAAAACAAAGGTAAATTGTTCATCATTTTATCCAATGCTCTACAAAACACGGAATCCGTGTTGCCTGGTTGGTTAGAATTTTACTGGTCATTGCATCAAAATAGTTCTAAAAGGACACCTGCGACTACCTTTTGGTACTTAAGAAATGATGATCAAATATATAAGAAACACTCTCATCAACGGCGTACTTTAGGCTCATTAGGCTTGCATTGCCGGATCAATCTATGCAACTCCATATTTTCAGAACTTATCAGCTTAGATTAATGTCTAGAAGTTGACACACTTTAACTCTTTCTTCTTCCTTGCAACGATAAATTTGCTAACAGTACTTCTATGGCGGCTTTGTCTCTTGAAGGGAGTTTTCATCAATCCAGCTCTTGTGGAACCGTTCGGTCTCACACTCATCGAGGTATGTCTCTTTGTTCTATTCTAAAACGTTGTATTGACTGAATCCTTCAATTCTTAGTAACACTCTGAATCTTATAAAAGGAGCAATTGATAGACGAGAAAAAATTCTGAAGCATTATAAACATTTAAGCCTAAATGTATCAAAAAAATCATAATATATTCCACTTGTATCTTGCAGGCAGCTGCCTATGGTCTTCCTATTGTTGCCACAAAGAACGGGGAACCTGTGGACATTGTGAAGGTTCCAAATTTCTCATCCTTCATAAAAAAGTTGTGGTAGAAGAAATGCATGCCTAGACTAAAATTATGCAGAACTAAAAAATACCTCATTGTATAACACTCCAAACTATGAAATTATGACAGAAATAGCTTTGATAGGAAATTTTGGCCACCTAATGAATTAATCATAGTATCACCTTATGACTCAGACTGATAGTAACTGAGGACTCTGTTTAACCAGGTGCTTAATGATATTCCCCCAGCTTAACAATGGTCTCCTAATTGACCCGCATGATCAGAAAGCCATAGCAGATGTCCTCCTAAAGCTGGTTGCTGACAAAAACATGTGGTCTGATTGTCTAAAAAATGGACTCAAGAATATCCACCACTTTTCATGGACAGAACACTGCCGTAACTACCTCTCACATGTAGAACAGTGCAGGACCCGTCACCCCACCACACGTCTTGAGATCATGAAAGTTCCTGAAGAACCATCCGTAACTNTTGGATCCTAAAGACTAGATGCACAATCAATTTATCATAAACAAGGAGAGTCAATATCTTCATTCCTTCTGTTTCTCTTATTTGGAGCACATACATTTATCTTGAAGAGAAATTAAAAAAGAGGTAAATCAATGAAGTTAACAAAAGATTTAGCTAATGAATACCGATTTATGCTCAGTCATTTCTCTAGTCCTGTCAAATTTGAACCAGTCCTACATAAAATATGAAAGAGACCATCATCTGGAAGTTAAAATTTTGAAAATAGAACAGTGGATTCAGATGAAGAGGCTCATGAAATATAACCTGTTGTTGCTTTAATTTTAACTTGATATCCTCTGCAACTTGAGTATAGTAAGCTCTGTTGTAGTTAAGAAATTATGGCAATAACTGTCCATAGCATTCAGTGAACTTAATCAATGCAATATATTCTTAAATATTACCTCTTCTCTGCTAATTTTTTTAGATGAGCTAACTCTTTCTTGTTGTATAAGCTCCATTGTCTGCGCATTTAAAAGAACAATGATGAATCAAGAATATACACCCTGAGATTGAAGAAACATATTCTTCAACAACCCATTTCCCATAATAAAGAAGAATACATACAGAAACAGGAATTCCCCAGAGTCAGATATTATAGGATTTTCGCAAGTTAGGGTAGCAACCAAAATATTATCAGAACATATGATCTATTCAAGCCCATAAATTATTTTATAGTGTACAACATGAAAGATAGTTGTGCAGGAGTTTCTACCAGTATGTCTAGCTCTTCAATTGTATAAAACTTCTAGCCCAAACGTTTTCCTGAGCAAGTATGGCAATAAATTATAAGAAAGTGCACCATCCGACAACAGAAGTTTTTATCAATTCAGGTTTACTGTGCAGGTGTTCTCGTACATGCAAGTAAGCTACTCAAGGGTGAGAAAACAGAAAAAGAAAATGTCCCATAACAGGGATATTGTAGGCTTCCAACTAGAGGGTCATTCCAGCTCCCGCACAAAGACACAAAATTACGTCCCCGAGCCCCGATGGGAATTAGTCCCATACCTTTGGGTGGGGACATCTGGGCTTTCCACCAAAAAAAAAAAAAAAAAAAAAATTACTGAATTGAACATGTTCCATCTACCAAATAGGAAAAGACATATACATTCAGTTAAAACTGCTTAAGTAACCTTTTGTTTTCCTGAACAAGTTTTAATGTCTTCTGTGCAATTTCGTCAACTTGTCTTTAGCAGAAACCAAATTGGCCATCAAGGTCTCCCTAGCTTCACTGCTCTGTTACCAAAATTAATTAAATTGCAACACGTATATCTAATGATTCAATAAAGTTATTTACCTTATTGTCCATGAAGTTATTGTTATCAAGCCGCACTTCCCTACAGAAAGGTAAATAAGATGAAAAGAATAATATTGTTTCTGATTATAAATTTTATGCATCATGACTACAGTTCAGGTAGGTTATCAGTTTAAATACACACCACTCATCATAAGAACATCTTGCAATTTTGAGTTAGCTCTTTGTGATAATTCGGTAAACAAGACAGGATCTTCCCTTATTTCTCTTTCTCATTTATGTCACAACTCGGTATCATATTAAAGATTTTGAGCTTAAATCAATGAGCCTTCCCCTCTATAATGCCCACCTTTTTGTTGTACAGTTACAGTTCTTAGGTGAGGCCCAAACTTGGAAGTGTTTAAATAAACATTGTTCTCTAAAAGCCTACATTTTCAGTAAAAGTCCTCAAACATCCCCTACGGCTCATGGAGGAGAAAAGTCTTGCCCCTTAATATGAACAAACCTCCTAGCTGTCCCTACCACTGGATTCGTCTTTCATGCTTTGCAAAAATAATAAAAAGCATGATAACAACCCAAGTTTCTGACTAGATTTTAAGCTGCTGATTGAAATTGACACATAAGTAATGCAAAGGTCTTCCAAAATATTCGCTCACTGTAAAGCAACAGCAAACAATTGTAATATTAACATTCACCTCTGGATTAAGGGAATTTTGATTATTGATATACAAATATTCAATGTCAAAGTGTGTTTATCATTGGACTTTTTTACTAGTAAGTTTCAAGTAACAACAATTAAAGAGGGAAAATGCATCTCATAAAGCGTGTGCCTATGTGTGAATAAAAAACTAAACATCAACAACTTAACATTTGCGGAAAATTGTATCAAATCCAAATCACCAGTTCATGGCTAAAGCCACTTGTTCCTTAAAATCAAGTACCTTCAGTTTCACCATTTGCTCATCACTTTACCTTTGACCTGAATGATTTCTAATATTAGAATTGCACAAACTTATAATATAAAGTTTTATCTTACCTATAGTGAAAAGTAGAAATGATGATAGCAATACGAAAAGAAACCATAAAACCCTATTCACAGTTACATGATTATGAATTTGCAGTTAAAATTAAAATTGCATTGCAACAAAAATACATCAAGAGGTTGAAGACAATAGCAAGATCTAAACTCTTAGTACACAGAAATACAAAATTAGGTTGGATGTGCCCAACCTTAAGCATACAAGAGACTACATAAACAGGGATTTCTAAATTACACAAATTGATCATGCATATATATAGCCCTCCTTTCTTTTTTTTTTCCCCTCTCTCCTTCTGGCCGGAAAGAGGCATGCATTAAGAAGATGTATCTTTAAGGATGTGTGTCTACTACCACATCTTCAACTTGAGACATTATTCCCAAACCCATCATCACCACTCAAGCAATTCCAATTATCAAGGAAGTGGATAATCTGACAAGAACTCTTAGGCAATACAGAAATATCCAACAAGGAAAACTGAAGACCTTTGTTACCTTCAGCTATTAGTGAGAACGTCGCCAAAGGCTGCAGATGAGAGGATTCCGATGCAACCTTGTCTACACACGTGCAGCATCAAGGTTAAACGTGGTACCACTATTTGCATCAAGAAAACAAGCTCTAAGGTTCGACCTCTTTTCACTGCATATCATAATATTGTACAGAATCATCAAATAAGATCAAGATCAATCAGTTGTAGTAAACTGAAAATTGAAATCTCTGGTACGTTTGTGTTGCTACCATATTCCGTGCAGGTATCTATCAATTAGGTGGGGAATTGATCTTTCAAAAACTGTAGTGTTTGTGTGAGATAGAGGAGACAGAGACTATGAAAATCTGCTGGCTGGCCTCCAAAAGACTGTAATTGTAAGAGGCACCGTGGACTGTGGCAGTGAGAAGCTTCTTCATGGTGAAGAGAGTTCTAAAAGAGAAGATTCAGTTCCACAAGACAGCCCGAACATTGCCCATGTGGAGGGAAGTTATGAAGCCCAGGATATCTCTGCAGCTCTGAAGGTTCTTGAGATCAAGTGATTATGATCTTTACTATATTTTCCTTTTAAGTGTTTATATTCTCATCGTTAATGCAAAAGCAAGGATATAAGAACCATATATACAAGAATATACATCTCAACTTGTGAGATATTTCAATTGTACAAGTACAATAAAATACTAAATATAGAATAATATGGAATTTAAATTTGTGTACATGGCGTAATTTCCTTATTAAAGTCTTAAAAACAATCTGAAATAACATTTCGGAAATATAAGCAAAAGATGTCATCATTGTAAAATGCTAGACCAACCATATGATACAAGAGGTATAGTTTTATTTGCAGATGGTATGGCAAAACTTACCATTTCATCATATTAAAAGCATCATCATGAAGTATTCTTTCATTATTAACAACAATTGATGAAGCAGTACTGTTTCTGCAAATATACTACTCAAAACAATTGAACTAGATCCGAGCTAACAACTAAAGTCATTTATCATATAATCCCTTCGCAGTATAAGTTCTAAGGATCAATTCCTAGTTTTGTTTCGCATTTGATTACCTGTCAACTACGAATTTGTTTCTTCAGCCTTTTGAGTTGTCTAAGTTTCATTGCTATTATACTTTTCTAAAATTAAAGATTCACTTCCACCTTGTATTCCTCTCCACAATCACATTTCAGCACATAGGAAAGTCCCTATAACAAGCAGAAGCATCAATTAGAATATGATAGTTTGATATAGAAAAAGTAATCACACGTTTACTAGAATTCGGAATTACTTTTAGCAAATGGAAGGCAAAAACTTTCCCAACCGTAATTGAGTTTGACAACCATGAGCAACAAAACCCCACTGTATTAAGAGTTTCATTTTAGCCACCAACTGAGGACCTTTTCTTTTTAAACCTTGCTTTGGTCAAAAACCAAAGGCCATTTCAGGTTTTGATCAAGTAAATCCTAAAATACTTTAGTTTCTGTATGATAAAGAAAAAGCTACCAACAGTATTTACCTTGAATTGCTCAATTTGGTCCTTTAGGCATTCCCAAAACTCAGATTCTCCAGCCTTATCTGATAGAAGATCTGCGTGTTCCTCTTCCAAGGTCTTTATATCCATTGCCAACATCTCTGACTATAGTTACCAATATTTAAAATAAGAAGCCAATAATTAGTTTCTACAAACGAGTATATGAAATAGAAAACTAAAAGCCACCACTCACCACTCAACTACTATCCAAAAGATATGGATGTTGAACAATATTTCTATTGGGCAACCTGATCTCTCCGCAAAGAAAACATTATATTCGGCCAATAGTTGATTTCATTCTATAGTGATAATCTATGCACAAGCCTAAGGGCAATCACATGAAAACATTTACATGATACTGGTTAGAGAACTAACCTTCAATTTGTTTGCCCTGCACTTCACTTGCTCAAAGGAATCGTTCATCTAAAAACATGTCCAAGATTAGCGAATGAATATAAGGGATTGATAAAATTAGAAACAACAGCATACAAGTAGTTTCCCGTGAAGAATTAGATCCACTTGACTAGGAACCAGATGTATTGACAGAGTCACATGTAAGTCTTACACCACTGGGAAAAGCAGAAAACATTTAAGCTTCAAAAGAAATTTTCCCAATAAGGAAGGTAAACCGAAATGCAAAAACAGTCAAAACATTAATTCAAGAAGCACTTTCATCCACTCTCAAGATAATTAGTTTTAGGTACCTAAACTTATAAAAAGATTCAATCCAAGATAATCAAGTGACTTACGTTAGCGTCACAAATTTAAATTGAATTTACTCAATGAACATCAATGTTTTACATGCTACACTTGGAATTCATACTCTGATCTACAATCAGACAAATAAGAAAACAGCTTTTCACTTGATGATATACTTTACAAACGATGAATGGAAGTAAAAAATGTAACTTTTGGCATTAGCCAAGACTGGAGACAAAAATTTAGCGAATTGAAATTAAATCGAAGCAACAAACTCTTTCTACACATATAAACTACAAGATTAAGTCACCCGAGCCCCGATCGGGAATTAGTCTCATACCTTTGGGTGTGGGGACATCTCGAGGCTTTCACCCAAAAAAAAAAAAAAAAAAAAAAAAAAAAGTTATTGAAATCGAGACATGGTCCATCTACCAACTAGGAAAAGACATATACGTTCAGTTAAAATCTTGCTTAAGTAACCTTTTTGTTCTCCTGAACAAGTTTTAATGTCTTCTGTGCAATTTCGTCAAGCTTGTCTTTAGCAGAAACCAAATTGGCCATCATGGTCTCCCTAGCTTCACTGCTCTGTTATCCCAAAAATTAATTAGAAAATTGCAACACCGTATATCTAATGATATCAATAAAAGTTATTTACCTTATTGTCCATGAAGTTATTGTTATCAATGCCGCACTTCCCTGCAAGAAAAGTTAAATAAGATGAAAAGAATAATATTGTTTCTGATTAATAAATTTTATGCATCAATGACTACAGTTCAGGTCAGAGTTATCAGTTTATATAGATCACCACTCATCATAAGAACATCTTGCAATTTTGAGTTAGCTCTTTGTGATAAAATTCTGTAAACAAGACAGGATCTTCCCTTATTTCTCTTTCTCATGTATGTCACAACTCGGTATCATATATATAAGATTTTGTGCTTAGAAATCATATGAGCCTTCCCTCTCTATAATGCACACCTGCATTTTGTTGTACAGTTACAAAGTTCTTAGGTGAGGCCCAAACTTGGAAGTGTTTAAATAAACATTGTTCTCTAAAAGCCTACATTTTCAGTAAAAGGTCCTCAACAGACATCCCCTACGGCTCTTGGAGCAGAAAAGTCTTGCCCCTTAAATATGAACAAACCTCCCTAGCTGTCCCTACCACTGGTAATTCAGATCTTTCATTAAGGGATGTTTGATGATCTTTGCAAAAATAATGAAAAGCATGATAACTACCCAAGTTTCTGACTAGATTTTAAGCCTGCTGATTGAAATTGACACATAAGTAATGCAAAGGTCTTTCCAAAATATTCGCTTACTGTAAAGCAACCAGCAAACAATTGTAATATTAACATTCACCTTCTGGATTAAGGGAAATTTTGGTATATTGGTATACAAATATTCAATGTCAAAGTGTTTATCATTGGACTTGTTTTAACATAGTAAAGTTTCAAGGTAAATAAAAAACTAAAAGTCATCAACAACTTAACATTTGCTCGGGAAAATTGTATCAAATCCCAAATCACCAGTTCATGGCCAAAGCCAACTTGTTCCTTAAAATCAAGTACCTTCAGTTTCAGCCATTTGCTCATCACTTTTACCTTTGACCTGAATGATTTCTAATCATTAGAATTGCACAAACTTGATAATCTTAAAAGTTTTATCTATACACTATAGTGAAAAGTAGAATAGATGATAGCAATACAGAAGAAACCATAAAACCCTATTCACAGTTACATGATTATGAATTTGCAGTTAAAATTAAAATTGCATTGCAACAAAAATACATCAAGAGGTTGAAGACAATAGCAAGATCTAAATATCTTTAGTACACTAGAAATACAAAATTAGGTTGGATGTTGTGCCAACCTTTAAGCATACAAGAGACTACATAAACAAAAGGGATTTCTAAATTACAACAAATTGATCATGCATATATATATATAGGCTCACTTCTCCCTTTTTTTTTTTTTTTTTTTTTCCTCTCCTTCTTGGCGAGGAAAGAGGCATGCATTAAAGAGAGATGTATCTTTAAGGATGTGTGTCTACTACCACATCTTCAACTGTGAGACATTATTGCCACACCCATCATCACCACTCAAGCAATTCCAATTATCAAGGAAGTGGTATAATCTGAACAAGAAGCTCTTAGAGCAATACAGAAAGATATCCAACAAGGAAAACTGAAGACCTTTGTTACCTTCAGCTAGTCAGTGAGAACACGTTGGATCCTAAAGACTAGATGCACAATCAATTTATCATAAACATGGAGAGTCAATATGTTCATTCCTTCTATTTCTCTTATTTGGAGCACATACATTTATCTTGAAGAGAAATTAAAAAAGAGGTAAATCAATGAAGTTAACAAAAGATTTAGCAAATGAATACCGATTTATGCTCAGTCATTTCTCTAGTCCTGTCAAATTCGAACCAGTCCTACATAAAATATGAATGAGACCATCATCTGCAACTTAAAATTTTGAAAATAGAACAGTGGATTCAGATGAAGAGGCTCATGAAATATAACCTGTTGTTGCTTTAATTTCAACTTGATAACCTCTGCAACTTGAGTATAGTAAGCTCTGTTGTAGTTAAGAAATTATGGCAATAACTGTCCATAGCATTCAGTGAACTTAATCAATGCAATATATTCTTAAATATTACCTCTTCTCTGCTATATTTTTAGATGAGCTAACTCTTTCTTGTTGTATAAGCTCCATTGTCTGCGCATTTAAAAGAACAATGATGAATCAAGAATATACACCCTGAGATTGAAGAAACATATTCTTCAACAACCCATTTCCCATAGTAAAGAAGAATACATACAGAAACAGGAATTCCCCACAATCAGATATTATAGGATTATGGCAAGTTAGGGTAGCAACAAAAATATTATCAGAACATAAGATCTATTCCAGCCCATAAATTATTTTATAGTATACAACATGAAAGATAGTTGTGCGGGAGTTTCTATCAGTATGTCTAGCTCTTCAATTGTGTAAAACTTCTAGCCCAAACGTTTTACCAAGCAAGTATGGCAATAAAATAAAAGAAAGTGCACCATCCGATAACAGTAGTTTTTATCAATTCAGGTTTACTGTGCAGGTGTTCTCGTTCATGCAAGTAAGCTACTCAAGGGTGAAAAAAAGGAAAAAGAAAATGTCCCATAACAGGGATATTGTAGGCTTCCAACTAGAGGGTCATTCCAGCTCCCGCACAAAGACACACAAAAATAGATCTCACCTGGTTAAGGGTGGACGAATCAGACTCCAGAGAAGCAATTTTTCTCTGTTTTGCCAATATTTGTGCACATATCTGACCCTTTTCCTTGTTCATCTTCTCAGCTTCTTCTCTCAGTAACTTTGTGTCAGACTTTGCTGTAAAAATAGTGGGAAACAGCTCAGCCAATCAAAACAGCTACTATAAAGAACTAAATCATAAATACAATTGTTTCCACAACTCTATAAATGGATTGAATCTACATAAATGTATCAAAATCATCTGAAAAATTGTATCATGTGGATATTAGAGGTAAAAGGCCTCTGAAAGCAAATTCAAATTCCTAATATCACTGAAAAAATTGTCCTAAATTTGCAGTGTACACAAAAAACTTTAAAGTACTAATTAATGGAGACATCAAACTCAAGGTAATCCACATGAACATGCACAAGATTGATGTCAAGGTAGATTACAATTAAAGCCCCAAAAATACCTATACTGGACTCTTTTTATTTTCTGTCAAGGCAACGTAACAAAACAACCCGAGGATGCATTCCGAAGTAATTGTGGTGCAGCTAGAGAAATTTACAAGATTTGATTGAAAGAATAAAAGTCTTCTTTAAAATCAAATTTATTTAATTTAAAAAAAAAATAATACACACACACACTCACACGCAAAGCGTACTAATTGAAGAACTTTTTTAAGTGTTTCTGAAAAAAAAACACTTTTTGGATGAAAAAATAAAACTTTATATTGAGAGCAGTTTCATGAGCTTTTACTCAAACAAATTTTTTTCTACAAAGCCATCCTAGACACACCTATATACAATTTCAATAATCAAAAGAACTTTTCATATGAATCTCATAGTATTTGATGCAATGAATAAACCACTATTTTGAATTTATAAAGAAAAATAAATACTAGGAGTACTTTCCAAAGAAGCATTAGATAAGTGCTTTAGTAGAAACATTCATTTATAAGAAACACATTTTAGTACTTCTCAGACAATCAATCTACCATTCTTGATCAGTTAAACCGATTTCAATACTAATATACATGTAAGCACCAAAATTTTCAATTAAGCAAAACAAATTTCAGTTTCCGATTACAAATTAGGATCCTCTCCTAATCTCAATTTCCATGAACTTTTAAAATCTAGAGAGGATTCTTCAATTTCACAAAAACAACTAACAAATTAAAATTCATTTCTGTAATAATCAATTTATTTTCAACAAAAACACAAACCTTAGTATAGAAGATTGACCAGAACAAGGTCATTTTCTATTAATTAATACACTGGTATACGCACCAAAATTTTAATTAACCTAATAAAATTCAATTTTCAAGTAATATTTAGAAAAATACAACAACTACATTCCTTATCTGCAATAATCATTTCATGTAACATAGATTGGCCAAAAAATGAATTCGTCTTTAAAAAATCCTTTATGATGCTAATTTCAATTATCTGATGCAGTTCAGTCTTCAATAAAATAACTACCAAACAAATTCCATTCATTTCAAACAATCATTAATTTTCGAACAAAAGAACACATCTAAAAACAGCACTGGCCAGAAACAGGTTGTTTCCATCACTAACCCCCCTAAATTCCTTCCATTTCATTCATTTCGAACTAACAGATAAAATTCAGTTCCAATTATATCATAAAAGCACCAAAAAAAAAAAAAAAAAAAAAAAAACACAAATTGACTAGAAACGAGGTCGTTTTCTATGGAGTTAATTGTGGTGATCAACACTTGCTATTCAACCGTGACCTTCGCGGTCTGATCCTCCACCTCTGTTTCATTAAGTTCAATTAAAAAAAAAAAAAGCGTGATGAAAGAGAGAGAGAGAGAGAGAGAGAGAGAGAGAGAGAGATAGAGATGTGAACCGTTCATTGACAGCGAAAGTTTTCATGTACTATAAGTACTCCTCCATCGTCTGCGTCTTCTCGCTATAAATTGTAGATTCGGAGATATTAAACAAGAGAGACCGTTAGGTTTTTGAAATTGAAATGTGAATGTCGATTCAAATTTGTTGGAAGAGGGAGGGTGACTGTACCATACTCCGTTGCATGTATCATAAGTCAGTGGTCATTTATTGTATATATGAAAAAAAAAAAACAAAATAACAATTTATAAGTTACAGTCTTCCTTTTTTTTTTTTTTTTTAAATTTAAACAACTTACAAGTTCAAGTCTTTTTTATTTTAAACGACATTAATCCAAGTATAATTAATAACATAGCATAACCTTCTTCCTTCTATTTCTCTTTTATTGGAGCACATACATTATCTTGAAGAGATTAAAAAAGAGGTAATCAATGAAGTTAACAAAAGATTTAGCAATGAATACCGATTTATGCTCAGTCATTTCTCTAGTCTGTCAATTCGACCGTCCTACATAAAATGAAAGAGACATCATCTGCATTAAAATTTTGAAAAGAACAGTGGATTCAGATGAAGAGGCTCATGAAATATAACCTGTTGTTGCTTTAATTTCAATTTGATATCCTCTGCAACTTGAGTATAGTAAGCTCTGTTGGTTTAAGAAATTATGCAATAACTGTCCATAGCATTCAGTGAACTTAATCAATGCAATATATTCTTAAATATTACCTCTTCTCTGCTATTTTTTAGATGAGCTAACTCTTTCTTGTTGTATAAGCTCCATTGTCTGCGCATTTAAAGAACAATGATGAATCAAGAATATACACCCTGAGATTGAAGAAACATTTCTTCAACAACCCATTCCCTAGTAAGAAGAATACATACAGAAACAGGAATTCCCCACATCAGATATTATAGGATTATGGCAAGTTGGTAGCAACAAAAATTATCAAACATAAGATCTATTCCAGCCATAAATTATTTAGTATACACATGAAAGATAGTTTGCGGGAGTTTCTATCGTATGTCTAGCTCTCAATTGTGTAAAACTTCTAGCCCAACGTTTTACCAAGCAAGTATGGCAATAAAAAAAGAAAGTGCACCATCCGACACAGTAGTTCATCAATTCAGGTTTACTGTGCAGGTGTTCTCGTCATGCAAGTAAGCTACTCAAGGGTGAAAAAAGGAAAAAGAAAATGTCCCATAACAGGGATATTGTAGGCTTCCAACTAGAGGGTCATTCCAGCTCCCGCACAAAGACACAAAAATAGATCTCCCTGGTTAAGGGTGACAATCAGACTCCAGAGAAGCAATTTTCTCTGTTTTGCCAATATTTGTGCACATATCTGACCCTTTCCTTGTTCATCTTCTCAGCTTCTTCTCTCAGTAACTTTGTGTCGACTTTGCTGCAAAAATAGTGGGAAACAGTTCGCCAATAAAACAGCTACTATAAAGAACTAAATCATAAATACAATTGTTCCACAACTCAATAATGAATTGAACCTACATAAATGTATCAAAATCATCCGAAAATTGTATCATGTGGATTTTAGGTAAAAGGCCTCTGAAAGCAAATTCAATTTTCTATAACATGAAAAATTGTCCTAAATTTGCAGTATACACAAAAACTTTAAAGGACTTTAATGGAGATATCAAACTCAAGGTATCCACATGACATGCACAGAAAATGATTATAGTCCAGATAAGTTTTAGAGTGCTTTCAAAAGCTGCACCTAATTAGCAAAAGAACTTTTGTTAATCTACAATAGCACTCTGAAATTCATCCACTGTTTTCCAAAGCAAAACATAAGGTAAAAGGTTTTCAAATCACTTAATTTTCAGTTAATGACCATTTGAACAAGATTGATGTCAAGGTAGATAACAACTAGAGCCCCAAAAATACCTGTACTAGACTCTTTTAATTTTCTGTTAAGGCAACGTAACTAAACAACCTAAGGATGCATTCCGAAGTAACTATGGTGCAGCTAGAGAAATTTACAGGATTTGATTGAAAGGATAAAAGTCTTTTTAAAATCAAATTTATTTAATTAAAAAAAAATACACACACACTCACACTCACACTCACACACAAAGTGTACTAATTGAAGAACTTTTTTAAGTGTTTCTGAAAAAAAAACACATTTTGGATGAAAAAATAAAACTTTATATTGAGAGCAGTTTCATGTGCTTTTACTCAAACAAATTTTTTTTCTACAAAGGCCATCCTAGACACACCTATATACAATTTCAATAATCAGAAGAACTTTTCATATGAATCTCACAGTATTTGATGCAATGAATAAACCACTCTTTTGAATTTATAAAGCAAAATAAATACTTGGAGTACTTTCCAAAGAAGCATTAGATAAGTGCTTTAGTAGAAACATTCATTTATAAGAAACACATTTTAGTACTTCTCAGACAATCAATCTACCATTCTTGATCAGTTAAACCGATTTCAATACTAATATACATGTAAGCACCATAATTTTCAATTAAGTAAAACAAATTTCAGTTTCCGATTACAAATTAGGATCCTCTCCTAATCTCAGTTTCCATGAACTTTTAAAATCTAGAGAGGATTCTTCAATTTTATAAAAACAACTAAACAAATTAAAATTCATTTCTGTAATAATCAATTTATTTTCAACAAAAACACAAAACCTTAGTATAGAAGAATTGACCAGAAACAAGGTCATTTTCTATTAATTAATACACTGGTATACGCACCAAAATTTTAATTAACCTAATAAAATTCAATTTTCAAGTAAATATTTAGAAAAATACAAACAAACTACATTCCTTATCAGTAATAATCATTTCATGTAAGCATAGAATTGGCCAAAAAATGAATTCGTCTTTAAAAAATCCTTTATGATGCTAATTTCAATTAATCTGATGCAGTTCAGTCTTCAATAAAATAACTACCAAACAAATTCACATTCATTTCAAACAATCATTAATTTTCGAACAAAAGAACCACATCTAAAAACAGCACTGGCCAGAAACAAGGTTGTTTCCATCACTAACACACCTAAATTCCTTCCATTTCATTCAATTTCGAACTAACAGATAAAATTCAGTTCCAATTATATCATAAAAGCACCAAAAAAAAAAAAAAAAAAAACACAAATTGACTAGAAACGAGGTCGTTTTCTATGGAGTTAATTGTGGTGATCAACACTTGCTATTCAACCGTGACCTTCGCGGTCTGATCCTCCACCTCTGTTTCATTAAGTTCAATTAAAAAAAAAAAAGCGTGAATGAGAGAGAGAGAGAGAGAGAGAGAGAGAGAGAGAGAGAGAGATTAAGAGATGTGAACCGTTCATTTGACAGCGTAAAGTTTTCATGTACTATAAGTACTCCTCCATCGTCTCGATCTTCTCGCTATAAATTGTAGATTCGGAGATATTAAACAAGAGAGACCGTTAGGTTTTTGAAATTGAAATGTGAATGTCGATTCAAATTTGTTGGAAGGAAGGGAGGGTGACTGTAGCCATACTCCAGTTGCATGTATCATAAGTCAGTGGTCATTTATTGTATATATGAAAAAAAAAAAAACAAATAATAACAATTTATAAGTTAACAGTCTTCCTTTTTTTTTTTTTTTTTTTAAATTAAACAACTACAAGTTCAAGTCTTTTTATTTTAAACGACATTAATACCTAAGATAATATAATAACAAAATTTGAATTTAAAAAAAAAGAAATCCTCACCATAATAAATTGTTAAGAACATTAAATTTACTGTTGTGAGTAATAAATATTACCAAATTATCTTTTCTACTATTTATTTTAACACCTAAAATTTAATAAAAAAATTATTTCTGTTATTTTTGAAACCTTTGGAGAATTTTGTCATTATATATACCTCAAGGATAAATTCATTACTCTTTGAACTCAGTTTTTCATTTTTATCTTTTAATTTTTTAAAAATTAAAATACGATAAAAAATTTATTGTATATATTTTTTTAATTCAAAAAAAAAAAAATAAGAGAACAATTAACAAGTTAACGGTCTTTTTGTTTTTTTGTTCGGTTTTTTATATTTTAATTTGAACAAAATTAAGATACGAGAAACAATTTATTTACAAGTTAATGGTTTTTTTTCTCAATTTTTTATTTTTTTATTTAAACAGTTTATAAGTTTTAAGTCTTTTTTTTAACACAACATTAACCTTTAAGATATAATACAATAACAAAAATCTCTTGAATTTATAAATAACAGAAATTCCTCACCACTAGTAAACTGTTAATGAACGTTAAAATTTATACTGTTGTGAATAAGTAAATATTACCAAATTATCCTCCAACTATTGATTTTAACACTTAAAATTTAACAAAAAAATTATTTCTGTTATTTTTGAAACCTTTGGAGAATTTTGTCATTATATATACCTCAAGGACAAATTCATTACTCTTTGAACTCAGTTTTTTATTTTTATCTTTTAATTTAAAAAAAATTAAAATATGATAAACAATTTATTGTATATATTTTTTAAATTCGAAAAAAAAGAGAACAATTTACAAGTTAACGATCTTTTTTTTTTTTTTTTGATTTTTTCTATTTTAATTTGAACAAAATTAAGATATGAGAAACAATTTATCTACAAGTTAATGGTCTTTTTTTTCTCGATTTTTTATTTAAACAATTTACAAGTTCTAAGTCTTTTTTTTTCAACACAACATTAACCCTTAAGATATGATACAATGAGAAAAATCTCTTGAATTTAATAAATAACAAAAATTTCATACTGCTAATAAACTGTTAATGAATGTTAAAATTTATACTGTTATGAGTTATTAAATATTACCAAATTATCCTCCTACTATTTATTTTAACACCTAAAATTTAACGAAAAAATTATTCCTATTAATTCTGAAACCTTAGGAGAATTTTGTCATTATATACCCTTTAGGGAATGTTTGAATCATATAATGTTTTATTATATATAATGCTAAAATATGCTAGACTCACTAGTTTAACTTGAGTCTATCATTTAACTGTACAGTTTAATAGTTTAATTAAAACATGCTAGACCATGCTAGATAGTGCTTGACTTGATAGTCTAGCGAATTCCGGCTACTTTTGTCCTTGTTATTTTCATTATGACAATTAAGTTAAGTTAAATGGTTTTATAGTTAAATATTCAGTAAAACCTCTATATAGTGATACTCTATATAGGAATAAATTTTATATAGTCATAAAAAATTTTATTTCCAATTTAGGATAGATATAAATAAAAATAAACTCCATATTGTGCTAAGTTATAATTTTTATAAATCGTGTCTTAAGGAAAGTTATCTCCACATAGTAATAATTATTTGTATACTGCAAAAATATATATACTATATTACATTCAAGATTTAAGATAAACTTAAATATTTATCTAAATTTTTTTTGGAATAATTATTTATACTTTATAGTTGTTATCACACCTTTTAACTTGCAGGTACATTGTTCACTGGCATAAACATCTTCTTGTTAAAGTCAAAATATTTCTAGCTTCTCAAATATGTTTAGAGCTTTTTGACATGAAACTTTTTGTATTTTCATACAATCATTCTCATGATTATTTTCATTATTTTCTTATCTAATTGTAGCAATGATTTATTTTTCAGTTAAAGCATACATAACTTGTTGCTCATTTAGATAATTGAGGAAAACATTAATATCTATTCGATTAGTATAGTGAAGTTGTCAAATTTGATCACTCAATTCTACGACGACTCTTTGATTCTCTTCATCTATTTTATTTGTAACTTACAATTCATCGATATCAGAGTCCTAATTTTGGAATTCTTAAAAGAGTTAGAAATTATTTGTGGTTTCACATCAATTGCCCATACATGAACTGCATTTACAATTACGTCAAGTACACTTGTCTTTACTGATTCCAAAACACGATGTTCTATATATTTCAAAAGTAAGCAATTGAATCATTGAATTGAAATCCTAATACTATGAAAACATGAATTAAAATCCTAATATTGTATTACTAAAATATGAATTATAAAATAAGAAATTTTTGTAACTGTATCTCTATTAAATTATAACATTATTATAGTAATAAAATTAGTTAGTTTCATCATTATAACTATAGAGAGGTTTTACTGTATCATTTAAACATTTTTAGAATTAAGATTAGTAAAGATAACTATATTTGAGAATATTTCAAAAAATTAAAACAAAATTTTGTGAATAATTTTTTTTTTTTAACCTATACATTTGAAATTTTGCCCTAAAATTCCCCAGCCATATATAAAACTTTTAATGTTGTAGTAAAATCACCATCTATTTCCCAAGCCTTGTCGCCATCAGCCATACACCACCGGCCGCAACACCGAAAGTCAACGAATAGCACATAGTGGTCGTGTGTCAGCAAAAGCGATTTCAACCATGGGTCACAAATCATGGCCGTTTCCGACTAGGATCTATGGCCATTTAGTAGCGTGCCGAAGGCCACCAAATTTAATGTAACTTACTAAACTAACTATTGAACTTGTTATTAAAGGCAAGCAACGGTGCGATCCCATAGGGAATGACTCAATAATTTCTATATTCCTAAAACAATAAAAACAACTAGAAAGCAAATGGAACCAACTTATAAACAGTAAATCTGACAACACGTAAGAAGGGGGTTTGTAATCCAGCCAAACTAAGCAAAAACAGAGAAATAAAATATTGTTTAAACAATCAGTTCAGGTTTCCAAATTCCACTAACAACATGCATTGGACATGACAAGTCCAACCGTAACCCACTGTTCTATCTCGGTCATTATGGACTACGAGACACTATGGAAAAAAACAAGCTCTGTTACACGACTCTCGCCTTAGTTTGTCCACTATGAAACAACTAAGTTGTCGAGTAGATACTAACCCTTGAACAAACCTAGAACAAAGCCTTTAAATTTAATGCATGCAGCTTACGAGATTAGGAGAATAGATCTCAAGCTAAGCAACAATCACGCAAGCTCCGGATATTTAACTTAAGGGTTAGTTATTCAAAGACAATCAGACCGAAACTTGTCCATAATCAGCTATCACATGCGTCACTCGTGAATAGAAAAAGGCACGATTAACGTTACACAATTCCTTATTCTAACAGGTAAACTTTGTGATTAACCAATTTAGCAGGCCCAAAACTAAATCACTTCAAAACAAGAATCACAGACAATTAAACAAAAATAAAATAAACTAATTCTTATAAAAAACAAGATTGAGAACAACGTTACTGAAGTAAGTACACCATGACATGAAATTAGCTTCAAAATCCCCTTGACATGAAGAAGAAATTAGCTGCCATCTTGACTAGAAAGACAAAAAACTCTAATAAATTCAAACTCTACTGGCTCTCTCCCTCGTTAACCCTAAAAATTCTAATAATAACAAATGTGTTTTTCCTAATTTCACCAGGACTCAGAAATTTCTTTCCTAGACTATTCCTAGAGGAAAGACTTTCCAGATGACAAAATCTTATCAAATATGGATTCAGAATTCGTCTCACAGTTTGCCCCGGATTCTCGCAATGTAAAAAATCTTCTAGGCTCCGTAACTATAAAAATTGTCGTCTAGGAGTTGTAGATGAATAGGGCTTTTTTAAATACGACCTTTCGATATCTAACGCTCCATTAGGCCCGGTTCGAATCCACATCATCAGCTAAGGCATCCTATCGACTAGGATTCCAGGTCACGGAAACTCGGATTTCTCTCCCATAATACCTTCCTGAAAGCTGATTCGTTATACTTATTTCTCTAAAGAAACTTTTGCGAACTCAGGAATATAGATCTTCCGTAAAAAACTCGAAAATCGAGCAATAGTCAAATAACGGAAAAGATGGGAAAAAGTCGGGAAGATCTAATCTTTTCTCAATTATTTCCTAAAGTCTATCCAAAAATGCCAAACTTACAAAAATAAGCTCTAATCAGCTAATAGGCAATTATCAAAACCATAACCGAAACATAACTATGGAAGGAATAACATATATCGTAATTATGCTCTTATACCATTTCACAACCAAGATCTAGCCGTGAAATGACAGATCTGTGGCCGTTTCATGGCCACATCTTGGTCGTGAAAAGGCCAGATCTTTGGTTGTGAAAACGCTAGATCTAGCCATTCCTAGTTGGTCAAAGGTCTTACTAGTGCACGATGGCCAAATCCCATGATGTGCACCATTACAACGATTGACGCCAGAGGCCAATGGTGGTGAGCAACGATCGTAGTGGTCTTGGGTGACTGGGGATATTTTGTTAACTTTTAAGTTTTTTTTTTTTTTGTTGTGGTTGGGGTGTTTTAGCTAATTTCTCAAATATATGGGGGCTGGGTAATTGTTATTGGTAGACATTTGAAGCAATTGTGTCAAAAATGATTTTAATTAAGGGCAAA